TAGTGGAAATTTCCAGAATGTCCTGGACAAGAATGACTTACTGGAAGTAATACATAAATCAAGCAAATGAATAGTTACCAGACAGCAGCATAAACAGCTGCCACGGGGATGAAATCAGACCTGCTGTGCCAAGAGGCGTCAGCCTCCTCGCCGGCTGCACATTCGGGGGGAAACGGGGAAAACAACCCAAGCAAAAGCACGTTTCTGGGGAAGCAGCCACCCCGAGCCCCGCACAGGTGCCTCGGTGGCTTTCCTGAAGCCAGCAGGCACGGAGCACATCAGGGCAAGCGCCGTGCCGCTGGCGGGGACCCTGGCTCCCGTGGGTCTCTGCGCGGGTAGCACAGCCCGGGGAGCACGGCACGGGGCTGCCAAGGACGGGACTGCTCCACACGAAGGAAAACAAGCGCCGGGTTGTATTTTTAGGCAGAAGACCTGGAGGATTTTTTTCTTTTTCTCCTTTGCCAACAATCCCTCGTTCAGCAGAGCACCCTCCGAAACGCACTTCGTTCCGCGTCCAGCCCCTGCCTCGTCCCGCCAAGGGGCTGTAATGGAGGGTGGGTTTTGCTGGATCTCTGGGCCGTGGCTGATAGCAGCCGCCCTGCAGAGCCCATGGAAACCATCCACGCCAATAAGTGGAAAACAATTTGTGCTAGAGATAGCAATCACTATCATGTTGGTTAAAACGCGTAAACTAGAAAACACCACCGCAGCAAAAACAAAGGGAACTAGTCACTGCTGGCCAGGCCGCAGCTGTGAATGATTAAAGATAATTAATTCTGCTAAATACACGTACAGGCATTTCTTCTGCAGCCTCCTTAATTGTTTTGACCTTTTTCCAGGCGAGGAGCGGACGCTCAGGCAGGGGCAGCCCTGCTCCTCCTCGGGCCGGGGGGACGCGCGGAGCAGCAACAGCGGTGCACGGAGCGATGCAGAGCCGCGGGAGGGTCTCGGGAGCCCCACTGACGGGTGCACAAGCATGGCACCATCTGTACTGGAGAACCTGGATCTCACTGCCACAAGAACAAAGCAAGGCTCAAATGTCAAATCGTGTCCAAGAAAAAAAAATATTCCTAAATATCTGAAAGATAATCAGAGCAAAAACCTGCTCTGCACCTCCAAAGCATTTATTACTTAATGAGAAAGCACGTTAAAAGAGAAGAAAAGGACAGGGATGATATCGCAGCTCCACTAACAAAAATGGCAATTTTCTGCAACCAGCTCCACTCCCAGCAGCACCATCGGCGCAGCCACCCGCAAGCTCGGCAGCACCGCGCGCCTCTGCTTCACTTTGAACTGCTTTAACTTATTTGGCAGAAAAAAAAATATTGGTTTAATCAGAGCTGGCACATTCTGCTGACAAAAAGCATTTGAAACTACAGCGTAGCCATTCTTGGAGATAGGTGCTGGGCCAAAAGGAGATATCTGCAGCAAAACAACTCAGAAGCGTGCAAGCGGGAGCGCGTTGCTAGGTGACGTGCTGTGGGACAGCCTGCTGCACCCAAGGTGCTCTGCAGCACCGAGGAAGTATTGTTTTCTTCCTTTCCCAACTAGAAACAGTGGGGAAAAAATCCAGAATAAAAAGAGAAAACCCTGAAGATGGTGTGAGGAGTCCCGCGCCGTTGTGGAGCTCGAGCCTGCTGCCCTGACGGGCCCGGGGAAGGCTGGGCACAAACTGCTAAAAAACGATGCTGGAAAAGGCACTCGGGAGAGCGGGGAGCGCGCGGTGGCAAGGGGCAGTGTCACTGCCACGTGTGCTCGGGTACCACACATGCTTGCACAGCGAGCTCGCCACGTCTCCTGGCATCAGTTCTTCATGTAGCTTTTTAAAAAGTCTATTTCTTATTTTTAAAGCAGGGGATAAGGAGCACTCTCACCAGCCATCCCCTGCAAACATTAAAGCTGCAAGAAGTAACAGACTGACTAAGCAATAGACACTCTGGTAACTAAAACAGCTACAAGAAACAGAAGAAGATACGTGCTGGTTTGCCTTTCAATTCTTTGAAAGACATGGGCTATTCTGGCCTGACACGAGAGAAACCATTTTCAGGACCAAAACCACGAGAGAAAGATTTTTAAGATGACCAGAGTCTCCCTAACTTCAGTTGCTGCATCCTCAGACATGCCTGTGGCAGGGCCAGCGGCGGCAGGCATGGGCTTACTGGGACGGTCTGGACTGTGGGTGTTCAGGCTTTTCTGCAGAGATCCCCTTGGAAAAACATCAGAACAAAGATCTCCTCTCTTTCTGGAACAGTAAATCACAGCTGGGTTTATCACAGGAATCCTGACAGCGTGAACATGTCCCAAGAAGGAATATTAAGGGTTTCACCTACTCATGGTCAAAGAATAACATCATCATAGCAAGTTTCACTGGAACCAGGGTCTGTAGAGCAGAGGAGGAAATTTGCAGCATTACGTTCCTGATGAAGGAACACAGACAGGGATTGCTCACGCTCTGTATTTCACAGTGGATAATCACCTGGACACCTGAACATGAGACAGGAGGCAGCGCAAATAGGCTTAGAGATACAGCAAGAGGCAGAAATAAATTTCATTTTCTATTTATACACTCCCCTCCCTCCACCCTGCCTGTGCCTGTCCCCGGGATCTGTCCTCCCCCCGCCTCCAGCTCTCCTTTCCCCTCCCACGCAGGGGGACGCAGCCCGGGAGCAGCAGCACTTTCCCCGGGAGCTGGAGCGCCGGCGTCCCCCCGCCTGCGCGGGGCGCGCAGGGGGACGAGGGCCTTAGGCCCGCACACCGAATTGCAGGGGGCACCCAGCTGCCACGGGAAACCCACGACGCTTCTCTGCTGCGCAGAAGGAAGTGCACTGCTCAACCACCTCAAAGTGGTGGTTTAATTTGTGTTAATAATAGCCGTTTTTTAATGTATCGGCTGTATTAGGAAGGTTTTGTCACTGTTATTAACGGCAGCCCCATGCCACACGAGGAGCTCCGTGTCCCTTTTCAGTAAGCAACAGCGAACACACAAACCAAAAAACCAGGAGATGTAAGACAACACGGGACACTCTTTTTCTCTATTTGACCGATACAGATTGAGTTCTGCTTTTAGTGTAAGAGATCTCTGCAGTAATACTGTGAGAAATATTTTTTTAGCTCATCTGATAAAAATGCACATCTTGATTATTCAAACGTTACTTAAAATAAAAAAAAAAAAAAAACAGAAACAGATGAGGAAATCCCCTCCGAGAAGTGCAGCCCAGCTTGGCAGGGCCAGAAAGGGGCCCTTCAGTTTTGCCCACGTTAGCTGTGGATGCCCTGATCTCTGGCCCCCCCCCCACAGACCAGGGCCGCCAGTCCCCACCCCAGAGCATCCCCCTTCTCCACGCAGGTCACCCGGGACAGCCAGGCCCCCATCCCTTCTGCCACACTCTCCCTCCCTCCAAACATCTTCTGCAGATGTGAAGCTTTATCTCCACCGCAACATCTTTAATCCAGCTTTATGGTACCACTGCCTCAACCAGTTCATTTACAAGAGCCGCAGCAATGAGTCCCGGACCAGGCTGCCCTCCTGGTGCTCCTGGAGCAATGTCCTCCTTGCCGGGCGGCCCCGCAGCACGCGGCAGGAGAGCCGCCGTGGAGGGGCTGCAGGACTGACGCAGGAGGGATGCTGGAGGGCCTGCGCCTGGGGCTGGCTGTTCCTCTGGCCCCCGCAGCCCGGGATGCCCCCAGGATCAGCACCGGCTCCAGGGCCGGGACAGCTTCTGCAGGGCGGCGAGCTCTGCAGAGCAGGCTCTCGCTCCTCGGCTTCCTGCCTTTCTCCGAGATAATTTTTTTCCCATTAAATAAGCACTATGAGCTGTTTCTCTTCCTAATATAGCACACACCACTACACTCATTGTTTGTTTGTGTTTTGTTTTAGTTCCTTCCCTACTAAAGCAGCATGAAACCCATTGTATTACCTGCCTCCCCTCTCCATGTCTCTCACTCAAACACCACGAGGTTTTCCTTTAAATGAAAAGCACTTAAGCGGTTATGAGATTCCTTGCACATATTTGGCCAATGGGAGTACCTGGAACCGCCTGGCCCTTGGCTTGAGCCTGTAAATGCAGAAGGTTTTGAAGCCGAGATCTAAACCAGCTCTTTGGTTTTTAACAGCCTTGCCGGGGAGTCCATGGAACAGATACAAACCCGTGTCATAAGAAAGCATCTGGAGTCATTTTTAAGCCTATTTCAAGTATCATTTGTTATTTTTTCTCTTAAACAGATAACTTCAGGTTCTCCCAGACCTTCTTCTAAACCGTTCTGCCGATTAACTCATTCCCCAGGTTTTCAAGTCCTGCCTAATCCCTCCTGCTCATGCAGCGCCGGTGCGAACAGCAAGGGCAGGTACGACCCCGCAGCCTTGAGGCTGGCACAAACACCTGATGATGCTTTCACTTTTTAAACACTAATCAAAGGTTTCCACAGCAACCTGCAGGAGCAGGAGGAAGATGGGAAATTATAGGTCGGCTCTATCACCGAAAGCAAAAAAATTATTCAATTCCTTTGCCCTCGAAAAGTTTCAAGGTGACCTAGAAGTATTGGTAAATCAGGTTGCATAAAGGCAGAAAATATGCCCCAGAGTAGTCTTCTATTGTAGCAAAGAAATAGCTTTTAGTCCTTTAATACTAGGCTTGATCTGAAACCCAGTAAAGAGCTTAACCTCTGCTCTGCCTTCTGGATAGCCAAACCCCATTACCATGCCATTAACAGCAATGCTATATTCCCAGCAGCGTATGGGTTCCTCCTGCCGCCGCGGGGCTGGGGCACGGCTGCACAGGCAGGGGACGGCAGGGACGTGGGTCAGCGGGAAAGCCCCCCTCCCGCCCTCCCGCACCGCTCCGTCTGTCAGCCCTTGTTTCACTCACACACGGGTTTCCAGTTACTCGCCAACCAGATATGACTCAACACCGCGCACACACACACAAGGAAACTTTTCTACCACTATTGACTTTCAGAGGAAGTGGAAAAAGGAGAGAAAAACATATCAGTCATAAAGCTACTTTGCCAAATGGTTCATGAGCAAGTGCAGCATCTGCCTGTTTTTCTCCGGGAGCCGATGAACGAGGCTGTGGATCTCTGACACCCTCGACTCCTGATTCTCCAGTTCTGCATTGGAAATAAAAAATTATTTATCTCCGCATCAGGGGGGTTATTATGGAAGAAGACATACAGGCCCGAACGTTAACACCGACAGACATCCCAGGGACCCAAGGCTCCCTCTCCCTACTCCACCCTACACCCAGGCACGCTGCGGATACTCTCCATGGCACTCTCCCTTTCTACCAACTCCAACCGGTTGTCTCCAAAAGGAAGAAACTAATGGGCTGAAAGAGTGAGCTGAGAGCAGATGCCCGCCATGTGAAAAGCCAGTTGCGATCAGGGAAGGGGCTGGCTGTAACCAGAGCGTTTCTCCAGTTCCAGCAATGGGAACATCAGCACGTTCCCGTTCAATGCGTTCCCAAGCCCCATCAGGATGTGCTCAGCACAGCGCCCGGTGAGGTTGCAGCATCTGGTCCTCAACAGGCTGGTTGGGTCCGCAGGTGCTGGCAGACGTGCCCCGACAGCCTAAGCAGGAGCCGTGCAAGGAGGCCACCACCGATGTGGCCGTGGACCGCGTGAGCCCTCCTGACCCCCTGCTCCCACCCACGTCTGCACAGGCTGAACAGCTGCCAACAGTTACCTGCTCTCATACAGAGCACCTTCTCCCAGGGCGGCCAAAGGAAAGCGGCACAGACATCCGAACCGCAACCGATCTCATCAAAACACCGTAGGTGGTGTTTGAACCACGGCCTCCCTCATTTTGGCGGATGATGGTCAAAATAAGACAGAGCTGCAGCAGCAGCTACTGCCACCAGCCAGCTCTCCGCTCCCCCTGCACCATCTGTGTTTCCTTTTCATCGGTAACTCCCAAACAACAACATGCCCTTTGTCTCTCCATTCTTATTCTACTTTCTGGGACTTAAGAACAAGGAGGTCAGTGGGGAAGCAGCAGGGCAGAGGTTATGCTCAGCTGCTTGCAAATTACGCTTCAGACCAGTACCATAAACATCAACAAACTCACTCGCTGCTTTGATGAAGCTCCTTTGAAACTGGTACATCATGAGCGGCCCTGGAAGCATTCTGGAAGATAAAAAGGTAACACGCACAAAACACATCTGAGTAACACAATCCACAGAAATAAAGCTTTGCCCTTACCATAAGTTCAGCTCCATTCTTAAAAGTGCAGAATTAAGCAATAGCAACCCTAATTAATTCCCCCCGTCAGAAGGAATAAGATCTATTGAAGTACCTTTGATTTATTCTTCCTCCCTTTTCTGTGCCACACTAAATTAATTTTTCATTTTAGCATTCCTTCAGTAACACAGAGTTTCGGTACATTAGTGAATCCATGATTTCCAAGTAAGTTTGAAAATAAATTAAAAAAAGAAACAAGCCTAGTCAAAAACTTTAACAGTCACCATTCCCATTAAATTCCCCATTCTCCCCTCCCATTTCCACATCCCTTCAATGGGACATCCTGGAGCTGCCGACGTTCTTCATTGCTTTGCAAACAGTTCAAACTCTGGAGCAAAGGTTGCCATCATGCAAAATTATGTAGTGTTTTGTGGTTTTCTAGGCTGAGATCCACCAAGCTAATTATACTCATCACCCTAATTGGATTTAGCCTCTCTCTTGCACTCTCTCTCTCAAATAAAACCCAATGCACAGAACAGCAAGCAAGAAGCCGCAGTCGCGACAGGTAGACGCATGTTGTGGATAATGAGAGGCTGACTGCTGCCAACAAACTAACCCTTCGGGAAGATAACCCACAACGATAATGGCATCAACTTGCATACAGAAATTGTTACGACAATAAAGCTCAGCACCCGGTTCTGAAAAAGCACTACAGCCACAGCCCTTAGAGGAGCACTGTGCTCCCCTTCTGCCACACGCTCATTAGGTGGAAGCCCATCGTGAAGATCTTAGGGAAAAGCTTAAATCAAGGCAGGGTACCCCAAAATGAGCTTTTAAAATCACGTTTGTATGATACATGCATCTTTCAGAGAGCTGATCAGATTCCCCAAGTCCTACTCAAACATGCTTGGAAGGTCAAGGGAAAAGCCAGAATAAATTCTCAAAGAGCAGTTTCTTCTTTGTTTCTATTAAATGCTATCGTTAAGGATCTGCAATAACAGGCAGCAACGCCCCAGACCATCACCGAATCCATCCCGAAGCTGCACGACAGATGAGGCTTTTCTGCCTTACCTCAGGTAGGTTTTCAGTGCACTAGTAATGGTCTTTATCTCCCACTCTGCACAGATCTCTGTTTCTGTTTCAGTGGCTGTTTTGGGATCTAAGGAAAAAGAAAAAAAAAGAAAAAAGTGAACCAAAGTGAAGATAATACGAGCTCATACCAGCTCACCAGCTCAGCTGTGAATCAAGATCATCATGTCCCATTTATTAGTTATTCCCCAGCCCAGTGACCACAAGCCGATCCCCAACAGACACTTCTGCAGGGAAGCAGAGGTCGTTACACGAGATGGGCCACACTCACTTGCATGGGACGAGAAAAAGAAAAGAAAAACATTTATCATGAGCAATGAGATCGCCAGTTTGACTCAAAGCGTGACGTTACATAGAGTGCAGGAGACTGTGGTGTTCAGCGACAGCGGTGACAGAGCAGGGCACAAACATGACATGGACCCAGACAAACAGAGACCCCCCCAGGACTCAGCAGAAAATCCCAGCCCCCCAGTAGGCTGCAAGGCACTGCCACAGCCTAAACAAACGTGAGCAACAGCAGCAATGGTGGCACGGCTCCTGCGGCGGTCGGTGGGTGTCGGGCAGGCAGCAGGACAGATGGGGTGGCAGAGGCAGGAGCCCTGCCCGGGTGTGCGGGGGGACAGGAGGCAGCTTGTCCTCCCACCCAAGGCGGGGAAGAGTCCCTGGAGCCGGCCCGACCTGCTGCGGAGGGTGGGGGAAGGCAGAACAGCACTCCCTCAGCTCCACAGCTGCATTTCATTTGGAGGGGAGGGAGGAAGCGGGGCTGCTGCACGCGGTGCTCTGCGGCTGGGCTCTGGCACAGCCGGCGTTCACATGTTATCTGCTGGGCTGCCCGCCCTGGGGACCCTTGCTCAGCTCACCGCTGCAGGAATGTGCCACCAAGTGCTTGCCCTCGCCAGCCCAACGCTGGCTGCGAGGTGGCCTTGGATTGGGAAGCTCCCATCGCCCCACAGAGCAGGAACACGAGCCTCTCGCTGCTGCCAGGTACGCGGGGAGGAGCAGCAACGCTGGTTGGTTTGAGCTGCGCTAGCGGCGAGGGAGAGGAGAAGCACCCAGGGTGTTTTGAAGTGGTGCAGGGCACAGAGCGCAGAGGCAGCTCTGGCTGGGGGGGTCACCAGTGTGGCAGAACCACGCTGCGGTTTGTTTTGTCACCTCTGGCCTCTTGATGTTATCCTATTCTGTTCCTCCATCCTCCCCACTGCAGGCTGTTTCTTGCCATCTTTAATTTTTAAACGCCTGATTCAGCCTCGTCCAGCCCCGCAGCAGACACAGGGCTCTGCAGCAGCCCCTGAGCTGCCGCGAGCAGCGAAGCCTGGAGGAGCATCGGGTACGACGGCAAACCTCCCGGCACGGGGAGAACCCAGCCCAGACCTCATGACAAATGAGGCGGTGCCAGGCCCTCAGCACACAATGTCGGTGAGTGATGGCAGAGATTGAGCTGCCATCCACGTCCACCCACTGCAGCCCCTCGCCGCAGCTCATGCCCACCCTGTCACCAAGCACCGCACGTAACACTGTAG